TCTTCGAAATCATCATCCGAATCAAGAATTGGCCCCTGAATTGCCTCGCCCGTCACGCGGTCAGCTGTTTCGCTAACTGACGGAGCTGCGCCCGAGGCGAGCTCGACGCATCATCGGGCAGAGGGTCGAGATGACGCGATGGACCAGGTTGTGGAATGAGCATGTTCCTCGTTCCTCTCAATCGAATGAGAACTACCCCCTTTCCGATTGTAAGTCGCTCACATCCTCGCTCTGTCCACGCAAAACGAACTGCGCTGCACGTTCTGCGCCAAGGTTGACGGCGACCGACATTCACATGGGAACGCGATCCATCAACTTCCCTATCTCAAGATCTAGGTCGATCGATGGCTGAAAGCCCGGATGCACCGACACCAACTCAGATGGCCTCTCGGCGGGAGATTTGGCTGTGCCATACCTTCCGCCCGAGGCTTGCGCTCTGGACCTCGTCGCCGAGTCAGCCGAGGAGCCCCCCACTGCCAAGTCAAACATAGTCTCTGATGCTTGCCCCCCGGGAAGGTCGAGAGAATTTGGTCGCCTCGTGGAGGCACCTGCATTGTCAATGCGCTCGGCAGGTTAGTGACATTCTGTTCGTCCGAGCATTCCTTCTTGTGATCCCACGCTCTGCGAAGCTAACGGCTGCGCCGTCGTTTCGGCTGCCAACCAATCCTTTGCCTGGATATTGATAATCCCTGCAAGATGTTCCGATAATATCTCATGGCCAGTGGGCACCGCCGATGACGCGGGGAAGAAGGGATAATGCCGTCGAGCATTTACTAAGGTAACACTGATGGGAGGAGGCTGGCCTGCCGGCCGACGCGCGCGCACGCGCCGCAGGCTCGCTCGCTCCTCTTCCGCCCCCCTTGAGCCAAAGTGGTTCAGCTACGGAAGCAGAAGCAATCAGCACATCAGGCAGCGCGCGCAAGGCGAAGGAGCAGAGAGCGCCACGGGATGGCGGCGCGGAAGGGACGCATTGACTGACGAGGCAACAAAGTAACGCAATTGCCCGGGGCGGCAGCACCGCCCTGGACCTGGCCATCATCAGCGAATCCCTGGGGCGCGCCAAGGACACGTTCGCCGGATACCGCGCGGACGCGCGCCACGAAAGGCGACACTGCGAAAGGGAACGCGGCGCTCTTCGACTCAATGATCAACGGCCGCATCGCATTAGTCGACAAAGCTCCGAAGTAGACGGGCGGTGGGCGACCCTGGATCTGAAGCGTCGTTCCCAGGCTGCCTCTCGTCAAGTGCTGCCCAGGAAGCAGCAGTTAACCTCGTGGAGCAAATTACAGGGCCAACGGTTCGGGTCGGCGGTTGGTGGTGTTTCGGTTGGTCTTCCATCCTCTTCCACCTCCCCGTTCTCCCCCCCTCCCGCCCCCCCCCCCCTCCTCCTCCTCCTCTCTCTCCTCCGCTGTCCGCCCCACCTTGTTTCGCGAGTGTCAATAATATCATTTGCCGGCGCTGTATTTGCGCATGCGTGTACCTATCCTACCAAGATTAAGTTCGGGCGCACAGCATGAATGCTGCGATTTGCGCCTGCCAATCGCAATGGGGGCACCAGCAGCAACAGGGCCGCTAAAACTAAGCGATACTTCGACCCGCGTAGCAGGGCCCCAGGATTTCGAAATAGGTTTAGAGTCCAACATCCGAGCAAATTGACCGTGCTCGGTAGCCACGTTGGCTCAACGGTTAAACACTTCTCTCCTGCTGCTGCCACATGTCCACGAAGTCAGTCGACGAGGCAGCCCGCGCGCTAGGCCTCTGGGCCCCCGTTCGCGCACAGGCGTCTCTCGCAGGTAGGCTGTCCGAGCGCGACGGGCGGCCGCGCGCGCGGGCTCGCGGCGGGCAGGCCACTGTCTGCAGCGGGGGGGGAATCCCGCGAACAACTCCAGGAGAATAGCCAGGTGAACGAGGCCTGGCGACGCGGCCTGTCGAAATTCAGGGCCTCGAACCCGCCTCCCAACCTCGCGCCGGCAGCTGGCGGACTCAAGTCCACCTCTGCCGCAATGCACCGCGCCCATACGACTTCGTTGGGTGGCGTCTCGCGAGAAGGGCCCCCAAGGGAATCTGCAGGAAGCGCATCGCCCGCCAGGTCGTCGGCCGCGCCCACGCGGTCCGCCCACTGGGACCGACGGCCAGGAGGGCGCGCAAGTCTTGCATCAGCACGACGCGAGTTCTCATCGTCTGCGCTGGCTTGATCTGGCGTCGGGGACCGGAGAGGAGCGAAACGGCCCTGCGCGACACGGCGGCGCTGGGCGAGCTGGTCTTGCTCGTCACGCTGCGGATTCTTCCCTCTATTCGAAAGGATCATCCCTTGACTCAAGTCACCGGCGACGCTCATGCCCCCTTCCGCTCTCGCATAGATCGTCCGAGAAGCATATGGATCGGGAGGGGTTGCCTCAGGGTGCTCAACTTTCTTTGGCCCCTGCAGCTCTGCCACAGCGCAACGTTCATCGTTGTCTCCTTGATCACCGCAATCGTTGACCATCAACTCAGAAACGGGGTAGCTTGAATGAACTGAGGGGGCGTAGCGCGCCGTCATCCGATGGGCGGCGGCGAGGCCTGGAACCGCAGCAGCGGGGCCAGCATCCATTGGAGAAAATAACAAAGCAGCAATGGGTCCAGGGCCTGCCCAGCGAGCTCTCACCAGCCGGACACTTATGTCCCTGACGCTCTTCTCGATGATGCTCTGCACAGCATCTTCGATTGGGGGCGCCGGGGCCCTAGGTTGATCGGGGGCGCAGATTGGGCGCGTTGCCGTCCAGCGTGCCACTCTCAAGCAGAATGCCATCCAGCGTGGCGTCATGCGCGGCGTCAACAGGGCGGACACGGTTGCCCCCCTGGCGCCGCGACTCGCGATGCCAGCAGGGTCACAGAAGCCGACCAGGTACTCTTCGACGACGGCCGACATGCACTCTGCGGCCTCTGCCTCCTGGATGCCCTCCTCCGCTTCCTTCGCCACGTCGCCGTCGCACTCATGCTCGTCGGCGCCGCTGACACCATCATCGTTCTTTCCATCGCACTCGTGGCACCCCTCCGTGACCCTCCCGTCCCCGACACCCTCCGCAAACTCCTCCTGGGAAGAGAGCTCCGGGCTGCCAACATCGAGGGGGTCAGCGCGTTCGAGCGACCACGCTGTCCGTCGGTCTGGCCGACAGAGTCCGAGGTGCCAGAAGCAGCGGCGGCATCGCCAGGCAACCGCGGCGGCTCGGCCAGCTCGTCAACGGCGGCAGCGCCACCGCCGCTGACAGGCGCGGCGGTAGCATCGGCAATGGCCGAAGCGGCGGCGGGGCCGCACTCGGCCGCCGCGGCACCAGCCACCGAAGCCGCGGCAGCGTCGGCGGCAGCCGCCGCAGCAGCAGCCGGCGACAAGGCGGCGGCCAGAGCCACGGGCGCCGCGGCGGCGGAGACGGCCCCGGCGCAGGCCGCCGTGACGGCCTCAGCAGCCGTGGCAGCGGCGAGGGCCGCGGGCCAGTCGCCAGCCCCAGCGGCCTGCCAGCGAAGGCCAGGCACAGGCGGCGCAAAGCCAGAAGGAGGCGCGGCAGGGCCAGCAGCACCAGCGGCGGCAGGACGGTCAGGCGAAAGGCCAAGCGGCGTGGCGCCACTCGCCGCGGCAGCGGCGTCAGCCGCCCCACGCGGCAAAGCCGAAGCGGCCCGGCGCCGGCCGCCTGAGTGACAGGCCCGGCCGCGGCAGCGGCACTGGCCACGGCAGAGGAGCCCGCCACGGCAGCGGTGCCAGTGGCAATCGCTCGCAGCTGGGACGCACTGGCAGTGGCACAGGCCGCCCAAGCAGCAAGCCCAGGCAGAAACACCTCCGCTTCCACGGGCTCAACAGGCCCGTCCCGCCCAGCGGCGGCCGCCAGGAGCGCGCCAGCCGCACGAGCCGCCAACGCAGCGGCCCGGGCCCCGGCAGCTACGGCCAACCAAAGGCCAGCGGCCCTCCACAGCGTCGAATGCCGCGCCGCACGCGGCAGCGGCTGCGGCCAGGCAGACGGCCAGCCCGCCTGCGGGGCCAGCAGCATGTGCAATGGCAAGCTGCCAGCACGCGCCGCTGCCAGCCCAGACGGCGGCGGCGGCGGCGGGGCCGGCGGCCGGCCGCGAGGCCAGGGCGGCAGAGCGGCCGGCCGCGAGGCCAAGCGGCGCGGCGTCAGCACCTGGCCAAAAAGCCCGGGCGGCGGCCGTGCGCCGCTGGCGGCGTCGCAGAGAGGAGATGGAATCCATCTGCGCGAGGGGGGGGGGGCGTGACGGAAGGAAACTCCTGCACAACCCCACCCCGGGCAGGCCGGCGGTCGGGCAACCGCCAGCCCAGCAGCGCGAGCCGCTGCGGCTCCCCTCGAGCCAGAGCAGCTTGAGCCAAAGGGTTACGGACCCGAACACACACACACACACACACACACGCAGAAAGAACCCTTGGCCGGAGCCCTTAACTGCTCAGTTGTTCCGTCTTCCCCTCGAAGCTCATCGGTGGCCAGCCGGCTGTCTACCGTGCGCTCGAGATCGGCCCTGGAGTATCTGGAAACCGCTCATCCATCCGCCGCCTGCCACCCGACTAGCTGCTCAGTGACTAAGGGGACCCTCGCCTCACTGGTCAGACGTAGCCATGCGCTCGGCCTGGGCAGAGCCTGCTTTCCAACAACGCACCAACGCCAGACATTGGGCCGCGACGCCCAGACTGCAGAGCGAAGAGAAACAGAAGCCTTCGCTCCTCAATCCTTCCGCTTCCACCATTCCCTGTCGATAATTGCAGCGATGACAGCGACGGCGCCAGAAGCAAATGAGGCAGGCCATCCTTGTAAGTGGAAAGCCTTAGTAAAATGGCGCATGACAGTGCATTACTAATTTTGCCTTCGTCTTCATGCTAGTGTGTACTGATGCGCCGTCTAGGCGCGGCTTCTTTCTGTCCTGTCCTGTCCGTCGGAACGCCCGTCGCTCTGCTTCAAGCCTGCACCTCCCTTTGCAAATATCCGATTACAGCACCCACTCTCTCCCCCACTCGGCCCTGCTCCCATCCTCGACTAGCCGTATGCCACTCAGTCCTTCTCGGCAATCGCGGTCAAATGAGTGTCTATCTCAGACTCGGTCAGGCGATAGAAACCAGCCTTGTCCTTGGAGACCTTAGACAGCCGAAAGAGGTGATGTAGAAAGAACTGGCCACTGTGATCGACATGTCACGCCTAAAACCTGTACCGCGAACATGTTGCGTAGACGTGGGCCTCCGTGTTGACCTCGCATGCAGGTGAGGCACACCAGAGGAAGATGGGTTCGGCGGGGATCAATAATCCCACAAATGGCTCGGACGTCGGACATCTACAGCCCACAGCAGCAGCATCCGGTCCACTTTCCTCGTGTCCGACACGTAACGCGACAGAACGCGGGCTGGCTCCCGAACTACTGCCCCCGAAACTCTGGCACAATTCGTGGTCCCTTGCGGCCACTTCGTGACTTCACCACGGACGTTGTCGGGCCCACAGATTCTGCGACCCTAACGTCGAAGATCCGTCGACAACACTGTCAGTGCTGAGCGTCCCCCGAGGTATGGACGCGCAGAATGAACAGCATGCAGTGTGCCTCTACCACTTCAACAAATCCTTCCTTCCTCTACCAAGGAAGTGGTTAGGAGGATGGGGTAAGTGATCGGAGGGGAGACGAGGTTGGGGAGGGGCAACAAAGGATGGGGCGATACGTTTTTTAGAGAGAAATATACGCATTTGAGAGCACGTGTCCTGGAGAACAAGCACACGATCGAGCCCTTTTAGAGAATGGCCCCCACTGAGCCGCAGACTACACCAACCTCGATGTCTGAAGGCTTGAAGTCCATCCCCATGACCGTCTGAAGGCAATTGATTGCCTGCTGGATGGTCTCTGGACCTGTCAGCGTCAGCTTCTTCTTCACAATCTTCTCCAGAGCATTTATCGCTTCATGGTCCTTGGAGGTGGACAGCAGCAGAAGTGAGCAGGAGAGTGGGTGAGAGAGAGAGTGTGAGAGAAAGAGAGACAGATATCGAGAAACACTAAAAAGAGAGAGAGAGAGAGAAAAAGAGAGAGAGAGAGAGATATAACAAAAAAAGAGCGAGGGAAGGAGAGGGAGGGAGACAGGATGAAGAAGGAGAGGAGGTACTTCCTCCTTGTCTTCTGCCCCTTCTTTCATAATTACCCGATGGCCAGCTGACAAGTCGATTAACATCATGTACGAAAGCCGTCTTGGGCAAGAATTCAACTTGAAATTCGAATATCGGGAACTCTCCTTTTGAAGTCCCATAGGCATCCTCGACGAAAATCGATTTGGGCAACAACTCGGTACGAGTTTCAAGTTTCCAAACTCTCTTTCCGAATTCCCAGGTTTCACCGCAGACCTATCTCTCTTCCCTGGTCCGTTGTGGCGGTCCTGGGAAGCCTACGGACCATCTTGGAACTATCGTGGGGACGTATTGCCGAAAGGCCTGAAAAATCAAAAAAAGTATTGCACATCCAAATGCAAACAGCAGGATCCTGGTAACTTGCACTGTTGGGCCATCGCCTGGAGCCTCCGAGGGCAGCTCGGCGCCACATGGCACATCCGCCCAATCTCAAACGAGCCCTTAAGAGATAGAGAAGGGCACGGCAAATAATATACGACAACAAACGATACGAGTATTTTTGATCCGCGTTTCCCCCCAGGCCCATGCAGAAGCGGTTCGTAGGGTCTTGCCAAAAAGACAATACGACCATATTATGATATCTGCAAAGCCTTTGGGAGCCCAATTGCTGTGGGACCTTCTTGGGGCACTTTGTAAGGCATCGATAAAACAATGGCAATGCTTGAATAAATGCCCCCTCACCTTGATAGATGCATGGCCCACGTGACACTCCTTGGGGCCGTATGGGGCCAGGCCCGCTACTTGGGATGGTATTGGGGGACATGAAATATTTGAGGCCCGTCTCTGAGCCCACGTGGGCCAAGTCGAAGCTATCTTACGGACATTCAGGCTCATTGAAGGCCTATGTTCGGCCTTTGTGGGGGCGTCCTTGTAAGGCCCCGTGGCCCGCATGATAGCGGACCCCTCAGAGGCCCCACGAATGTCAATGATTACTTTGATGCGGCCCCGCAGGCATACTCCCGAGAAGACAAATACGCCGACATTCCAAGCGGTTATGATGATTTGGGCCACCTTGCCTGTTCGGTTTCCGATTGACGTCTGAGGCCTGGAGGTGGCTTCGAGATGGTCTAGTCCGGGCCCTGAAGAGCCCCAAGCCAAGAGAGAGACCCGAACCCTCCCCGAAGCCCTTGATCCACTGCATGCTCCTCCGCTTCCCTGGTCAAGGCAACTCGCAACCGCAAGCGAAGGCGCATGCAGCGTCAGAGGTCAACCCGGTCTACGGGCGAAACCTAATTGCCCAGCTGACGCACTCACGGCTGCCGAGGCTGCCGCCGAAAGAGGCTGAGGTTATGGAATTTTGTTTCATCCGCTTTTGTTTCGTCCGCTTTTGTTTCGTCCGATGTTGTTTCGTCAACTTTTGTTTCATCCGCTTTTGTTTCATCCACGTTTGTTTCGTCCGTCTTTTGTTTCGTCCGCTTTTGTTTCATCCACTTTTGTTTCGTCCGCTTTTGTTTCGTCCGCTTTTGTTTCGTCCGCTTTTATTTCGTCCGCTTCGGTTTCGTCCGCTGTGTTTGCGTGATTCGTGTAGAAATTGGGGGGATGAAAACCGGATGAATTTAAACTGGACGAATTAAAACCGGATGAATTGAAGCCAGACAAACTAAAACCGGATGAATGTAAACCGGACGACTGAAAACCGGATGAATCTAAACGGGCGAAAGAAACCGGATGAATTTATTAAACCGGACGAATTAAAACCGGATGAATTTAAACTGGACGAATTAAAACCGGATGAACTCAAACTGGACGAATTAAAACCGGATGAATTTAAACCGGACGAATTAAAACCGGATGAATTTAAACCGGACATGTAAAAAGACATGGATACAGCTCTGGGCAACCATGTTAGATACCCCCTGGGTGGCCTGGACACGTAAAAATACATGTTGGGTGGCCTAGACACTTTAAAACCATGGTCGTTGCTCGGTACAACCATGTTAGATACCCCCCTGGGTGGCCTGGACACGTTCAAACACGTGGTCCTTGCTCGGGACAATCATATTAGATACTCCCCTGGGTGGCCTGGACACGTAAAAACACGTGGTTCCAGTTTGGAGCAATCATGTTAGATACCCCACTGGGTAGCCTGGACACGTACAAACACATGGTTCCAGCTCGGGACAACCATGTTAGATACCCCCCTGGGTGTCCTGGGACCTCGTGGGGCCTCCTGAAGAGGGCCAATCTACAGGAACACAGCTAAAAAAACACGGATTCGTGCCCCTGGAGAGGGCCAATCTATGATAACACATGAAAAACACACGGATACGTGCCCCTTACCCAACTGTGTCCCGCATCCTGTGATTTATCGATCGAGATTTCAAACGCGAGCGTTTCGCTAGGGACATCCTTTTTTTTTTGTCCACGCCGAATGGGACTTTATTTTGTTATTTGTAGCCAACAATTTCGCCGGCCGAAGCCGGGGGAAACAAAACGAAACTAAAAGAGAACCTTGGGCCCGCGCCCTTTCCGGGAACATGGTCGACACACGAACCCAGAAAGGAATGCAGTAATATGAGGCATGGCAACGTTTCAAATACATGTGATTAGGCGACGGGCAAAAGCAATGCTGAGTCTATCAATCTTGATGTTCCGTGCCGAGGGCTGTGCTGCGCTGCGCCGTGCTGAATTGCGATGTGCCATGCCGCGATTGTGCTCTATAGCGTTGTGGATCGCGTCTTCGTTTGCATCCGAGTCCTGACCGAACTGATCTGGATCTTCAGCTCGAGCTACCTGAGCACATAGTAGCTGCACCAGAGCTAATTGACAGGGGGGCATGCAAGGAGGACGCGCCGCGGAACGTCCCACGGGACGCGCCAAGCGACGTGCCAGGGGGTGTGCCATGGGGACGCACCGCGGGACGTGCCAAAAGGACGCGCTACGGAACGTGGCAATGGACGTGCCACGGGACATACCAAGGGACGCGCCGCGCGACGTGCAAGGGGGATTCGCCACGGGACGCGCCACGGAACGTGCCAAGGAACGTACCAGGGTGCACTGCTGAGTGTATCGATCTTGATGTACCGTTCCGAAGGCTGTGCTGTGCTGCGCCGTGCTGAACTGCGATGTGCAATGCCGCGATTGTGTTCTATAGTAGAGTTTTGGGTCGAGTCCTACTTTGCATCCGAGTCCTGACCGAACTCATCTGGATCTTGAGCTCGAGCTGCCTCAGCACATAGTAGCTGCCCCAGAGTGTTGTGGAACCCATGTGTGTTCACACTTGCCCCGCCCTGGGGCATGCGAAACCATATGTTTTCAAGCTTGCCCCACCATGGGGCGTTAGGAACCCATGCGTTTTCACGTATCTCCCGCCCTGGGGCATTCGGAACCTATGTGTTTTCACGGTTGTCCCGCCCTGGGGCAAAAGAACCCATGTGTTTTCGCGCTTCCCCTGCCCAAGGACGTTAGGAGCCCATGTGTTTTCATGCTTGTCCCGCCCCGGGGGGTTAGGATCCGATATGTTCTCACGCTTCTCGAGCCTCCTGGGGCCTCCTGGGGGCTGGAGGGAAGCGAGAAGCGTTCCCCGAGCACATATCCCAATACAGAACAGGAGGCCCATGTTGGATACCCCCAAGGTGGCCTGGACACGTTAAAACACCTGGTTCCACCATGCCAAATACCCCCCTGTGCGGCCTGGACACGTAAAACCACGTGGTTTGAACTCGGGACAATCATGTTAGATACCCCCCCGGGTGGCCTGGACACGTGAAAGCACGTGGGACCAGCTCTGGGCAACCCTGTTAGATACGCCCCTGGGTAGCCTGGACACGTAAAACCACGTGGTCCGTGCTCGGGACAGCCATGTTCGATATCCCCCTGTGGCCTGGACACGTCAAACACTTGGCGCCAGCTCGGGACAACCATGTTAGATACACCCCTGCGTGGCCTGGAAACGTTAAAACACGTGGTCCTTGCTCGGGACAATCATGTTAGATACCCCCCTGTGGCCTGGACACGTGAAAACACGTGGTTCTTGCCCGGGACGACCAAATTAGATATCCCCCTGGGTGGCCTGGACACTTACAAAAAGATGGTTCCAGCTCGGGACAATCATGTTAGATACCCCCCTGGGTTCCAGCTCGGGGCAACCATGTTAGATATCCCCCTAGGTGGCCTGGGCATGTAAAAACACATGTTTCCAGCTCGGGACAACCAGCTCGGGAACACCATGTCAGATACAGCTGGGGACCACCATGTTAGATACCCACCTGGGTGGCCTGGACACGTGAAAACACGTGGTTTCAGCTCGGGGCCACCATGTGAAATACCCCACCTGCGTTGCCTGGACACACGAGCACGTGGTTCCAGCTCGGGACCACCATGTTAGATACCCCCTGGTTGGCCTGGACATGTGAAAACACATGATTCCAGCTTCGCACGGGATGCACTTGTTCGACCAACATGTGTCCCGCACCTTGAGATTTATCGATCGCGATTTCAAAACCAAGCGTTTCGCTAGGGACATGCTCAATTGTTCCACGCCGGAATGGACTTAACCTCGTTATTTATCGCAACTGATTTCGCTGGCCGAAATCGAAGGAAACACTACTAAAATAGAATCCTGGGCCCACGCCCTTTCCGAGAAAAACACGTGGTTCAAGCTCGGGACAACCATGTTAGATATCCCCTTGGGTGGCCTGGACATGTAAAAACACATGGTTCCAGCTCGGGACAACCATGCTAGACACCCCCTTGCGTGGCCCGGACACGGAAAAACAGGTGCTTCCAGCTCGGGACAACCTTGGTAGATATCCCCTTGGGTGGCCTGGACATGTACAAACACATGGTTCCAGCTTGGGACAAGCATGTTAGATACCCCCCTGCGTGGCCTGGATACGCTGAATTCGCGCTCCCGCTCGAGGAGGCCAGGGGATTGTGGATTATGTGGTTGCCACACCCCGTGTATCGAAATGTCGCACTCTCGCCTCAGCGCCGCGCGCATTTTTTCAAAAATGACGCTCTCGCCTCGGTGCCGCGCACATTTTTGGTTTACTGTGTTGACTGTGTGTGTGGGAGGAGGACGAGGGAGTAGGAGGGGCCGATTTTTTTCATCACATGACCGTTCGCTGCATGAGCTCGCCTGGAGATTCTTTTTCTCCAACATTTGTTCAAGGTCAACTTAAAAAACCTGCAGGCAAGTTTGTTCTTATTGCCACTAAAATAATTCCTAGGGCTTCGCTTTCTACGCTGGCAGAAACATCTCGCTAGCACTGACATTTCGAACGCCCGACGATGCTGGGCCCGACTTGCTTTCCAAAGGATTCCTATTGTGAGGCTTTCCCATAGAATGCCTCTGTTGCACTTTCCAAAGGATTCCTTTTGTGAGGCTTTCCAATAGGATCCCTTTGCGGTGCTTTCCAAACGATTCCCTGTATGAGGCTTTCCAATAGAATCCCTTTGTGATGCAGAGGAGGCGGAGGAGGAGGAGGAGGAGGAGGAGCAGATATATATATATATATATATATATAGAGAGAGAGAGAGAGAGAGAGAGAGAGAGAGACAGAGAGAGAAAGAGAGAGAGCGAGAGAGAGAAAGAGAGAACGAAGAAGAGTGGAGGAGGATGAAGAGGAGGAGGAGATACTTATGATCATGTGGGTGGGGGGGCGACCATATAGCTCGCCCCCCCCCCCCCCCCCCCCCCCCCCCCACACATGATCATACACATCTCCTCCTCCTCCTCCTCCTCCTCCACTCTTCTTCGTTCTCTCTCG